CAAATCTTATAACTGTGCGCCGACCACAACCATTACATTAGCAGCAATGCTTTCCAACACAAACGTCCACCTGGCGGCCACCGAATTACTCAATGACCTGGATCCAAATTGACCATATTGCCATCAGCTACAGATAGCGCACATCAGTCCAAGATTGTCGGTCAATTTGGAGGACTTGCCTGGATTTCGACCATGCTCTAATGCGCGCACGCTTGATGCTGATACTTCCACCTCAAAGAAGCGACTGTTTCATAACCATATCGGTAACTTGAACTCGTAATCTGTCGTTCAGCAATATCATGACGAACTGGCTCACCAATGGTCATTGATGAATGAGGCAAGTGAGCCGGACGGTGACTGGGATTGTCTCAAGTCTGCCTTGAAGAATGTGTTAGACGCCTGCTGTGCACCCAACTTGAGACGTCGTAACTGGGAATGGAACTCTGAGGCATCGATCAGCTTGATGGAAGCATGGGAAAAGGTTTCGATAGGCACTGAGTTTATGCATATCCGTAATTCTCTGAAACGACGTCTAACAAGGTGTCTTTGAATCGACCGGGAACATTGGTGGCTCGCAAGGGCCCGTGGGATAGAGAAAGCCAGTGTTGTTCCAGCTCATCTGGAACACAGGTCCGAGAAAGCCATCAGTTAACGAGAGAATCGCTGAGAAAGATGGGCTGTTAATTTATTCTTGGCGTCGTCGACTAGCTCATTGGGCGGAACATTTTGAGGAGCAGTCCAGCAGACTTGCTGCGACACTGACACTTGCGAGTCACATAGCCGACGTGAGAAGCAGATGTCACACCACCCAGCTAGAAAGAGATTCAACATGAACTTTCCATGTTAAAACGAAACAAGGCTCCGGGACCCAACGACCTTCCTCTATCTCTGCTGAAAGATGGAGATGACAATTTGTTCAATGAAGTTGCTTCTTTATTTAACACGATTCGGAACATCGAAGAGGTGTCTCAAGACTTGCGACTGTCAAGAAGGGTCAGCGTACTTTGTGCCAATACCATCGAAGCAACAGCCTTGTTTCCGTGGCCACCAAACATCTCACGGGTATCATTCTCCCAGGACTTACTGGTCCCCGTGAGAACCAAATCACTGAAATACATGCTGCTTCAGCCCTGGTCGTGGTTACATCGACCACATAATTAAGCTTCACCAAGTTTTAAAGCAGAGACGCACAAAGAGATGATCGACTATGGTGGTTTCCCTTGATCTGAAAGCCGCCATCAACTCTATTGCTCGAGCTAGCTTGTAATACTGCGTGTCAGATAAAATTCTTCCCATTATGCAGTCTCGCTACCGCAACTATCGAGGCCGTGTAAAGGTCCAGGGGAAACTGTCTCCTGAGTTCCGCACGATAAGTAGGGTTCGCCAGGATTGTCTTATATTTCCGTCCCTCTTCAAACATGTTATCAAAACGATCATGATCCAATCGATTCTTCCAGACTAATGAAGTGGTAGTTCTGCCAAATGACCAACTGACAAAGCTGGAGTATGCGAATGACACAGCTCTGGATAGACTATCGCTTAGCACCGCACGCTTCGGCATGTGCTTTGCACCTTCAAAATGCAAAATGCTGCTGCAGGATTGGACGGACATACCTCCGGTTCTAGCTATGACCGAACAATCACTGGATCGGTTCGTTTACTTTGGCAGCTGTGCCACCTCTGGTGATTACATCACTCAGGAAGTTACTTCGCGTATCAGAAAAGTCCATGTAACCTTCTAGAGGCTCAACCATATATGTAGACGGCGGGATATCAGCTTGTCAGTGAAAGGTAAGGTGTGTAAGGCTGCGGTAAGGCGAGTCTAACTGTATTGGTCAGAGACCTGGCCAGTTCGCGGCGAATACACTAAAAGCTTGGTCGTGTTTCACCACCGCTGCTTGCGGAGTATTGCTCACGTCTGGTGGGAACACCGAGTGAGCAGTGCTGAGCTCCGCCAGTTGGTTTCTGGCAAGAAACCTCCCGGTGCCTCACTCGAGTGGTTGCTAAAGCATAATCACTTGCGTTTGCTAGGCCATGTCCTCCGTATGCGCGTTGACCGGCCGCCCCGGCATGCATTATACAATGTCGCCACATTAGTTTGGCCGAAACCGCGAGGTGATCGGCCTATGACGTGGCCTAGAGGTATGAAGAAATTTAAGGAGAGATTTGGTCAGACTGGTGCATGCCGTCCACATCAACAGTTAGCGCAGTGGCGTTCATGCATTCAGTTTCTTGCAGCTAGTTGTTAATATTCGCAACATTCTGATCAATTTAACGTACTTTCTCATTGTTTCCATTGTCTTTCCATTCTATTTACCTTTATCCCCACTATCTTTCCGTTATATATTGTGCGCCTTGCGATGTGAGTCGTGGCAACTGGATTCACGGCACTTCGGTGCTTGGATCATAGTTGTCCAACTGAACTAAACTGAACTGAGATCAGCGCCAGTGGAATGGAAGGTATCACAAACCGTACAGCAAAAGCTCGAGGCGCTTTTGCCCATCTCCGCAAGCTGTGGCGCCGGTGCGACATCACCCACGCCTTGAAGGTCAGGGTTTACAACGTAACCATCAGTTCAACCCTCCTGCAAGATTGTGAAACGTGGCTCATCAAATCCGCAGACATATTGAGGCTAGTTAGGCTCAATCATTGCAGACTTCGTAATCAGCTCATGTCTGGTGGGAACACTGTGCGAGTTATGAGCGTGTTCAGCGTCGGGTGTTTGGTGCAGGAAGAGAAAGTGAACCGCTCAGCCCATTTATTTCACGCACTAGGCTCCGATGGCTGAGGCACATGTTGCGCATGCCAGCACACGGACTCTCGCGGTTTGCGTTGTTTGCGTGACCGGGGTGTAGAGGGAAGAAAATAAGGGAAGGCCAAGCGATGACTTGGTCAGGAGGAATGGAGTCCCTCACTTCAAACTTGGCGTCGGTTGATGTCTCGCAACTGAAAGGCTGAGGACCGAAAGACAATGAACACGTCTGTTTGGACACACAATTGCTGATATGGCGAAATGCCGGTCTCAATGGCGTTGCTGTTGTGAGTTTATTTGTCCTCCCCCACCCGTTTGGTTATCTTTCTCCCAAGCACGATCGCAATTGAAGCTTAATATGTTACTAAGCAGTATCTCACCTGTTGTTTATTGTAGTCCATAAGATTCAGTATTTCGCTCGTTCATACGTCTTATCCTTTTGTATTGCGGCACAATAGCTGTAATGCTTCTAGGCTTCAGCTAATGTGTAACTAAGAAGATGCCCATCTAATGTGTGACGAGTTTACGTGTAATGCACTCGAACAATACAGGTCACGCCAGGACCCACAGTGAATGGTCGAACGCATCTTGAAAAAAGTGGTTCTTCAGGGTGACCCCATTTTTGTCGTGGGCTTGATCATGGAGGGTCCTCCTGTGCAATCTCGCGGTACCATCACAGGGATCTTGTCTAAGGGATTAATACTGGACCTGGCTTATGTGCATGACACCGTATTGATGTTTGACAATCTTGAAGTGGCACAGTTAGACATAGATAAACCCTGGAATGATTCGAGGCCTTAAAGTACAAAGTGCGACAGTGGGTCCACCGACTAATTGATAGCCCCCTTAACTTGACTAAGAGGAACAATTCATGTATCTTAAAGGTTGAAATAACAATGCTGGGTATGCGGTTGATAAAGCCAATTCACACACTAAGGAAGTTAGGAGGGCATACTTGAACCTACATCACATGTGGTGTTAGAATGGGATTTCATTCTGGTCTGGTGTATACAGGACCAAAGTGGAATGGGACTTTGGCACTTTGGTCTGAGCAATCCTCAAGTCCATGATCATGGTTGCTGTTGGATGACACTAGTGTTTGCAGGTATAATGCAAGCAGATGAGCACAAGGTGATGATAGTCGGGTTAGCTCTTTAGAAAAAGTAATCTCATTGAAAAAGTCACGTCGGCTCGCGCACCGTCTACCGAGGGGGTCTGTTTTGTTTACCTGATCTACGACGGTGTGAGGTAGGATGGAAGCAAAAGTTGAATTGAAAGCGGAAAATATGGTAACTTCTGAGTAGAATGGGTATTGTTTGTACAGGCCTTCAAGAGATCCACCTTGTGCTAAGGTCGAAACTTAGGCAATATGGTTTGCAGATGGAAAACCGGCGCGGTTATTGTTGTTGTTGTTGTCTCCTAGTCAGATTGCCTATTTAGTGTTTATTGCTGAGCAATCCGTGGGGTGAAGTAGAGAATAGAGAACAGTGAAAGCCGCAATGAGGCTGCCTCGCCAATCCGCTTTATTTATGCATGATATTCAGCTATTTGTGACCGCGTGTTGTTGACAACGTATGGGCACCTTGATTCTGAATGATTGCTTCGAGCATGTAAAATTTTGCAGTAGATCTGCTCCCTCCAACCTTGATTAATTTCGATTAAAAAGGGCGTCGTGAGTGTACGGCAGTTCAGCATTAGCACACCGTATCGATGTATTTCTGTTGATGACCATGATACTGTCACGTTAATGAGTGCCTTTTTCTCGAGACACAATCAATCTTACCACTGCCGTTTCCTGGGATGACGGAAAAGACTAAATTGCAGTGTCGAACGCATGACCGCATGTCACGTTGCTTCGGAGACGATGATGCTATCTGGTACCGGGAATGCTGAGTAAGAAACGATAGTTAAGGATCTGGAGGCATCTGGGATCTGTAGGACCAGGCGGTCGGGTCCCGCCGCGTTAGAGAAGAATAGGCCTCACCATCGTATAGCTGACGATAAAAGCCAACAGAAGTCACTTTGTCGCGTCAAAGGTGTCACATATTCGTGAAGACAGTTATAGCGATGTGTAAACTAACTCCAACAGTTGCACATTTGTCTCTGAAAAAAACCGGTGCTACCTGCGAGTCCTATTCGAGTCATCCATAGAATATGTGGATATTTGATAGAGGTTGTCCAAGAACAAAAAGGAAATGTTGATAGATGATGGAACGCTTGGATCCAGGTGCAAGTAATTGAACTCACCTCGTAATCCGCAGGTTGTGAACTTATTGAATCGTTTGTTGTGTGCAAAAGATCGGACCCACATGCCTTGACAGGAGAAAAAGCTGGGCTGCTGGTTGCAATTTGACAATTTAAATATTGCAGTAAACACTTTAAAAAGAACAAGAAAAAGGATGAAGGATCATCGGGATAGTGAGGAAAAGGTAACTTAACGAGAGTGGTGGGTCACTAGGCGAACCACGATCGACAGAGTCGACAGATATACAACGTATGGGAATCGAAAACGTGATCTTGTGACAGGACTTGTGGCAGAAGCGATTTGACATCTGACAGGAATGAACCTTGATATTAAAAAGAGAGAATGAAGCCAACGTCCGATACTCCTGCAGTGGTCTATGAGAAACGTTCTAATAGCGCAGGATGCGCATATTGAGGCAATACGTTAAGGAGGAATACCAACCCGCCTGTTATCGTGATGCAAGCGAAAGCTGGGGTGTAGCGTTTACTTATTAAACGGAATAAATACAACCGGAAGACTATCCGATAACTCCTCCACGTTCATCGCAATTAAATTACAAGCTACAAAGGTCGATTGCCAATCCGGAAAAGCACTCATCCATCACTACCATGCAGGCTACGAGCTCTGCAAAGGATAATGATAGGCAGCCAGGTGTCAAGATATCCCTTGCAAGTAGCTGTGAGTCGACACAGCATTCCTGTGGACTAGTGGGGTGTAATTTGTAAATACTTATGAGTGGACGGATTTGGCCAACAACGGTACTCTGCACGGGCAGTAAAATGTATACCAGTGGAGGATTGGTCGGGTTACCTCAGAGTTAGATTTCAATTTGTGATGGTCAGCTATCGTCCCACATGGTTCAGTGGCATAAGTTGCAGGCTAGTGGTGCAAGCCACTAGCGGTCATGGGTTCGATTCCCGGAAGGGGGCCGAGGGAATGTGCACCGCACACGAGCTCCAATAGGGCATAACGATTGTCGGATACTTTTCCGGAGTGGTAATCGACCTTCGTGTATTGTAATATAATTGCGAGGGAACAAATAATTATTACGACATCCGTCTATCCATAAGTGACTCCTGCAGGTGTTTGAGATACTGTAAATGCATACAGACTCGTGAATGTGCTAGGCTGTGAAAGGGTGGATAAACGCTCAACGAGTATCCAACCAAGTAACAAGTTGCGCATACCAAGATGACATGAGAGAAGTAATCTGGATAACTTAAAGAACGAAGCGAATGATTTTGGATGGTATGCCGTAGAAAGATCAGAGTGAAAAACGCGTATCACACTCACGGCCCGAAAAATGAGACATGTGACTTTAGCAAATGGTCTGGGTCTCGCGACCAGTGAGCCACGATTAATGAAAAGCGTGCATATCTTGGACCAAAATGCTTTGGCAAACATCGCCGTCAGATATTGGAATTGAACCGAGGAAAGGCGGGTTTCGATGGGAAGCTTATCGCACCCCAATGACTTCGACATGCAGCGCTTGACGATGTCTACGAAAGGTAGAAGAGAGGCAGAATAAAGAAACAGCACTGAGTGTCGGAACAAGTCAAATTACAGAGCATATGTGTAATTTACCGAAGTAATAGGTTTGCACCGTTGTCAACAAGGATGTGTATATAGGTGTCCCACGAGTAGAATGGGTGAGCCATTGTTTTGCAGTGGCTGAGCTTTTACACATCAGACCAACTTATCTGGGTTTCCAATGCATCTTAAGATGATAGAAACATACATCGCGCAGATGTCACAGTGAACTATGATGTAAGCCTCGTAATGTAGCTAGGACAATCGCTCGCGCAGCGAAGTACGGTGGCGCATAGTCCTACATGAAAACTGGGGGCTTTTAATTCTCCACTCTGGCACATTTCAAAGCAGCGTTGTCCGACTTTTAGTATCACATCCACCGATTTCTTCAACCGTAACACTGACATAGATGAGTATGAAAATAAGACAGGAACTAGGATGGAAGCTCGATCATGTGGTCCAGTTACTCTGTGGCCTGTTCAACCCATTCGCAGGTAATAATCTATCCTTCGACAACTGGAGGGTCCTGTCAACGCCGACAAGAACGCGTACCAGTCCGTTTTGCAAACTAAAACCTTAGGTACATATGCGCTTATGACAATCGAAATGAAGTGCGGACGTATGGTCATCTGGCAGTGACAATAATGAAGCAATTCTTGACGAGAAGATCGGCCAAGAAAGCCATGATATCAAAATTTTCAGCGCAAGCGTGCATCAAATAAAACCACAGCTGATGAATAAATTCTAGCACAACGAAAGGTTACCAAGTGGCCACATGGACTGGAAACTCAATGCGAATCTTATGAGAACGACGTATGCGTAGGTGCCTTGAGAAGATGGGAGCACGAGTTGGACTCACCTGCAGCGTCATCCGGCTCCAAAACTTCTTCCAACACAAACTGCAGGATGAAGGGTACCATGGATATGATCGGCAAATCTCGTGTCGGTTCGGGCGTGGCGATGACACCTTCATCCCTGGCAGCACGTTTGGCGACCCGCTCAAGCTCACGCACTGTGTGGGAGAATTTGGCGGCAAAAAGACTGTTGACCTAAATAGAAGGGGTTGGCGAAATAAGGAGCGTGATCTTGTTTTAGACGCCGTCAAGGGTACGCGGGAAAAGGACGAGCACAGAAGCATCAACATTGACAGCAAGTAAGCGGTGCGACCTTGAAATGAATTTTCGCTGCCATGGAAATATAGATAATAAGAATTGATATCAAAAGCAAATCATACAAAATGTGAAGATACCCAATCACAATAGGAATATAACATCAAAATCCTGTCTGTACCGTTCGGTCACAACCGCTGGCTGTCATTCGAGAATGATGGGAGTCCCTGGCAGGACAGGCATCATGCGACTACCAGCGCCACTGTGGGGTAATCAACTTTAAACAATAGATAACTTAGAACCACATGTGTCAAACAGGTGGTATGGTTAACATACAGTAGGGAACAATGCAATGATGTCGGCTGTATGCCAGATACCGTAGTGTCTAGAACCGAGTACGAAGTGGGATGTATAGACACAACAGGGAAGGCGAGATGGACAACAAAACACCGTAGCGGTAGTTATCTACTTCGAATTCAATACCGCCAAAGATGCGACACTATTCGGTAGACGGGAACTGTGTCCAAGCAAGCAAGCAATTACATAACATGAGTTAAGGAACAAAGCCCATCATGATTGTCTATCGCTCAGAGTCGCGGACGTGCAAGCATCAGCCGGTTGTAGTAAAGATCCGCACATGTCAACATAAGCGCATGTCCAAATGAGGTGTGAAATTGTGGATGAAACCTTTAGAATGACTACCTCGGATGGAAGCAGGTCCCCAGGACATGGTTCCACGGATGGTCGTATTACTTTACTTGAACTGCTGCTTATGCCTACGTTAATTCCTACGCTCTACGTTTCGCATTTTTATTACTTTTAAATAATTGATCGTCGCAAAGCTTCTCAGGGACCTACATTGTGAAAGTCAAAAAGTTTTCTCCGCCATCCGAGTTTGTTGTACATAATGAGCAGACAACGCATTTGGTCTGTGTCGCAAACCATGGAGAGATGCACAATTTATTTAGTTATTTAAAAAGATCCGAGGGGTTGTTGTTGTAACGCAAAATACACTGGACTTTAAGAGCAAGGGAAAGCTCTTTGTGATACCAAAGATATTGCATATGCACAAATGACGCTCCAACTTATGTAACAAACTGAATGCATGTAAATAAATGAATAAATGGTAAATTGCTCGACCTTGTGAGACAGGCTGATAACGTGATCTGATCACTGTGTACAACATAATCGAATAGTGGAGAAAGTTGTGCGAGTTTTCCAATGGTCCCAATGGTAAGAAACCTGGCTGCACGATGACGTAGAAGACACATTTGTGGCACTTGAGGAGTTTAGTGCATCGCGCTAACCGCCCATGTACACACGGGCAGCGTGGAGGGTGGCGTTATCACATACATAAATGCTTCATGTTGCAAGTCGACAAAAATCACTTTTAGTCATTACGCGCAGCGCATTAGCTGTTTAGTGGTGAAATGCAGGCCGCGATACTTAAGTGGCTATTGGTCGACTCTACTAGGCAACATTTATATTTCTCCCAGCTGATGCTGAAAACGCTTATGACGATTTTACATCTACTGTCATTGAACATCAAGATTTGCGTTATGTTTTTGAGGGTGAGTTTAATAGATTCGAGACTAGTTTTATTACCACTCTTGGACTGTAGGACATCGTGCAGTCTGCAACAAGGTTACAAGCAACCCTAGACTTAGTGTTTGCCAGTAACTTAAAAACTTTCTGTTTGTATCAAGGCACTGGTTGGAAGTTCAGACCATGCCATCACAAAATTGTATCCCATAATCTATGGTAAAACAAATTAGAAAAATGTTATTCGATGCAAAGGTAGCAAGTTAAAGCAAAGACAGTGTCTTCGCCGAAACACAGCTAATACGCGAAACTGTTGCCGCTACAGACTTCAATATGTTTTACAACTCGGATGTAACGGTCAAGATATCTAAGTTCCTAACTAATCTCTGTGATCAAAGATCGACATTGGACTGGCAGTCCCATAAAAACTCTTGGCCTCTATAACGTACAGTGTGAGCTCAGGGATGCGACTATTTGGTACAGAATAATAAAGGATGTACAGCTCGTCACTGGAATCCAAATGACGGCAAAGTGACATATAAGGGAACACTTCCGAAGGTCGGCTACTATGAAGTTGAAAAGACACAGGGAAGTGAGAGCACGAATGAATTCCACTCACTGTCGGTATGGAATCAGCCAGGACGAGGTGCTCGGATATTGTGAATAAACGTCTCATAAACACAACAAGAGCGTTTTTTCGAGAGAGATAAATGGGACCAAGAAATACCTGTATAGCGATAGGAGAGCGATGTTCGTCGATCATAAATGCATAAATGCATCTCCGTCGGGTACAATTCCACCCCCATACGAGAACAACAATCCACAGTGATGCACAGAACGAGAGAAAAAAGAGGTAAGTGTGTCATCACCGATGTTAGCCCGCTAGTTCTGTGTTGGCGTAGATGGCACGAATGAACCAAAACAAGTCCCCTGTGACTGACTAATCCATGATGATTAGGATAGTCTTCACATTCCTCAGCTGATACAGCATCAGTTACTTCTTTGGGGGGGAACACCACCATTCCTAAATACTAAACAACTACTAAGCCCATGGTAGCATCGAAGTCACAGCTGAATATTCACCCATATTACATGCATAAAGCACTTTGTTGATTCGACTTGATGCGTATTGAGAGTATACGTTCACGGGTAACAGTCGCTTTTGCCATATGAACTCTAATCTACTGGAACAGTGCGCCAGGAGAGCTGCTCCAGAAAGAGGTGTGCCCAACGAGCCAGACGGTGTTCTTTGTGTGAACTGCCGCACTACTGCTGTCCCTGACTGTTTACGCGATCAGCAATCTCGTCGGACCAGTGATGTTTCGGCGTCCCTGTGCCGTGCGTCCACCAGGCCACAGGGACATCGAACTCATACCGAACTACGGTTAGAACACTGATTGAACAACCATTGACTTATGTGATATCAGCGACCTGGAAAGTGACATGCCATGCAGCGCAACGGGCCAGAAAGATCTGTCATAATACGTAACAGTCCGATTTTATCCCACAAAGGGTAGGTATGCCAAATGAACTGACGCTACAGCGCAACCCAAAATATAAACACAAACGTACTTTGGTCAGATTGTTCTCAAAATGATCCGCATCATCAATAACCGGAGTCAAGCGAATAGGACCCGTGGGCTGATCGTCCATGCAGGACGTAATTGGGCATCCATCGGTGTTTAGATCGATGTAGTTAAAATATCGATTGGGTGATGGTGGACGAGTGCGGACTCTAATGAAAAGATGTTTGCCAGTGTCCAAACGTGGGACGCCAAAATAAGCATATGCAGCGAGTAGCTGTGCGTGAATATATTCGCAGCCGTTCGAAGTGACTAGTGAGCACAGGTCTCTGTTCGGGTCAAACGGATCTGCGTGTAAAAAAGGACAGACGAAGTGTACGTGTTACATAACAGGCTGATAAACCTCCAACAAGGTTTTTAAAAAATCATCCCCACTCGGTTGTGACCTCAGAAGCCAACCGAGGACGGTTTCGATAGGGAATGGGACAAAAAACTGCAGCAAGGACAGAGTTTCTGGAAATTCAATATGCCAAATAAAAACCAAACGTTGTTGTGCTTGGCCAAAAATTTGCATGTGTATCGGACGCTGAGAGAAAATAAAGCCGTTCATGAGCGAGTGGCAAATGTAACCGTCAGACAAAAATAAGGTTCATACATATACAGAGAAGCATCCGATTGTTTTCGAGCACAAGTAAAACATCTGCCACAAAGAAAATGGGATGTCATTTCTGAGGGCTTAGTTGTGGCTAGAGCTGTAGGCCCCAAAGCACAGCTCGAACTGCGTCCGTAAGCGATTACTAGAAGCCGCTGAAGCAATTGCGATCAGGCTGCATGAACCGGAGCTAGGTGTTCAGAAGAAGCTAACTAAAGGCTTGGAACTGCCCTGGCCCAAACGGCCGGTGACCTCTAACCCACGAGGTCACACGCGGTCGATTGTCGTGGCTTAACAGACAGCGCTGTCAGCATCCAATTAACTCGCTCCACTAGTAACGACTTATAATGTCTGTCTACATTTTGATTTTGCATATAATTGTATAAGCCCGAAGATGAATTATCGAAAACATATGTTCGCTTACCCTAACTTCGGATCGTAGTAGAAACGCCGTCAAAGCATTTAAGGTGAGGAATGTGATCACAGAGACAAAATAGAGTACACCATCAAGCAGGAAAGAACAGTAGGTCCAAAACAGAAGTGATGATCTTACGAAAACCCACAGCACATGAGAAGACCTCTTCCTCGCTTTAACGGCGTTAAATACAGTGGTACAGAAGCTTCGAGGCTTTTGCGTGGTGATCAATTGGTATAGTGAGATTCATGATTCGACGGTACAATATGGATAACAGACGGCACAACGGTAGCGAATGCTAATATCGCACTTTTAAATACCATCTAACCGATGTACACACAATAAGTGAAGAGTGAAGGTAGATCAGATTGGATAAGTCTTGTATGGAGCATACAAGAATGCACGATGTATGGCCTTAATTGCAGCAACAGTGAGTCAATTTTCTGACGCAAAAAAGTTTGCAAGAGTGAATTGGATCGATTACCACCCACTTGCTTTAATTTTAAGCCAAATAGCGCCTCAAAGCCCAAGGCAACAGAAACAAAAATCAAACGAACGAAACTGCAAGACCAACGGAGACCGAATAGTAAAATAGACTAGACAGATCAATGTTAACTAGGACAAATTATGGAATGTGTGGTAAACGAGAGAGGAAGAGTAAGGTGTGCACAGAAGTCAGTAGAGGAGACATTTTTGAATAGGTGGTCAGTGAGTGAGTATAACTAGCAGACATGGAACGTGGACACACTACACTGAAACATGAAAGACAAGAGAGCCAGTTGAGTAGGCTAGTTCTGACGGGAGGTCTGCTCCATCATTCCTCAGTATGAGGCCACGGTTGGCGATGGCAGAACACGGTGATCTGGTAGCGGGCCTACGCTCTATCCCCTCACTGTGCGCGCGGTTAACTAGAATGTGAAACAGGGTAAGCGTCGGAGGATATATGTAAACCGGCGATGGGAGCAGAAGGCACCGAGTACAACTTGATTGCAGCGGTAGCAAAGAATGCAGGAACAGAGCCAACATCACCCGAGAGTCGAAATGTGTCATTTGTGACCATCAGTTGGGTATTTGGATCAGCACGGTTACAGTCCAAGCCACAATAATCCTAGAACACTCCAGGCCATCCGTGGGAAAGTGATTCAAAATCACATGGTTTACACTTCTCATCCCCCTTGTGCCTACAAACCAATGTTCGCTAACAACGATAAGATTATTCAAAGGTCCAAATGGTAATTTCAATGGATATGCTATGCTTCTAAGAAAATGTTCACGTACACAACCTATTCGAGCTCAAGAGAACTCTGAGATTCATAACCAAATGGTACGCGTTTTCGCCATAAAGGTGATTGAAGCTGGTGGTCCCTATGTCTTCAGTTTGCTCCAGCACTTTTCAGTCAGATGCGATAAAATCCATCATCAGAGGACAAAACAGTGGGTACATTGGTCGATAAGCTTCATATCGCAAAGGAACATCCGCTAGCATAGAATCGAAGGACCACACGTTTACGAGATAATATTTAAAATGCACTCAGTAGTTTCGGGTGAACAAGGACACATGCAAAATCGTGATAGAGTGACCAACTGAAAATGCGAATGTCGGAAAGCAAGAAGGCAGGGTATAAACATTTGATAAACCAGTAAGTAGCTATCTGATGAGTACAATATCGAACCCGCGATGTTAAACAGCCAATTGTTGCTAAAAGCTTGCCGGTGTTGAGTAAAAGATAACGAGTAACAAGCGACTGCAACCTACCCATGACTGAAAGGGAGGATGTGCGACCGCTTCCACGCCTACGAGGCACAGGATCGGGAGAGACAATGTTGACTGCACACTTAGACTTTTGGAAGTCGAAAATGTAGAATCGGAGGAGACCTAACCAGAGGTCTGCCAGTTCAGTACCAATTTGCGAGTCTGCAAAGTAGTAATAGTGATTAATGATAGAGATCCAAGGTGCGATAATATAGGGGCATAAAAAATAGGGAGAGAATCCAATGAGCATACAACACCTAGTAACGGGGCCAGCTAGTGGTCGATTGTTGTCGAGGTCATTTTGAAAGTGGACTTTACCTTCAAGAAACGGTGTGAATGCATTGCAGGAAAGCAGTAAGCTTTGAAGGTGTTCCCTTCGGCGATAAGAAGCGCCATCAACAGTTCCAATCAAATGAGTGAAAGGCGGGTTTTATGTGGCCCAAATAAATGGATGATGATAAGAACGAATACTCGCATGTTATCGAGAGGGATACAAGGATACCGTAAGCACAGTTCGCACAAAGGACTGGTAAATAAGTAATTTATACGGGATTCATCATAATTATGTTCAGGTTGGTAGCCGTCAGTGCCAAAAAAGCGACTAGATAGCAGTTGTACCCTCGAGGTACCCATTGGAGGTGCGCATCCACTCAACCCGCTGAAGGCTTCGAAACAGTAGCCGAACTTTTGAGAAGAGGTGGAAGCTGATAACCAAGTTGTGAGGTGGCGCGACCTACTCTACACTACCGATGGCACGGGATTTTCCAAATCTGCACAACGGTTTTCTAAACTTGAGCCAATGTTAGATCGATGACAACTACTAGAAAGGTCGGCTGTTTGCATCTTCGGAGGCAAAAGGACTTGGGTTTCTATCTGCTGAAGTTGGAGCATAGTTTCCTAGCCATCAGCGACGATGAAATGTGCACTGCTGTGGAGCGTAAAAAGGATGAAACGGTGGCCTGATGCTGTTCCACAGACCTGACTTGGTCTGTGGTTTCAGCGAACTTCTTCTAAACCATACATCACCGCAAATTTATATGCCAGCCTAGTAACACTAAAATATTTTCTGGGTGCAGAAATTGCGTGAAAGTTTGGGCCGTGGACTAGTTATCGGAGTCGCTATCGATGTGCTTATGACGCCCCGAAAGTCTTATGTGTTACAAGCGATTTATGTGTGCTGTATCATATCAGCTCATGTTAACGATGAATTGCAAACTTATTCTGCGCGTTTTCGAACCACACAGAACCGTGGTAAGCCAATAGAATCGTAACCCACTTGAACAAAACCAGCAACTAATAAGGTGAAAGTGCCTACAGGTTATGGTAAAGGCGTGTGTCGGAAAATATGGGCGTCTCAGATATCACTTATAGATCCGGCTACCTATGTACGCAGAGTTAAAATAATGATGAAATTGGTTGCGGATTTAAGGATCGTGAACCAGTCGCATCGAAAGTGTAGTCAACATGGTGGAATCATATTTAGGGTTTTAGTGTCCGCAATCTCCATTTAGATCCCGGTTATTTGCTGAGAATTACAATTAGGCGATCTGCTCCCCTTATGTATGATGAATAAGACAGGGCACGAGTTCAGCGGCTGAGACTTAAACTCGATCTGTAATTGGGTCGAAAAACATGGGTAGCAGGAATTAGGTAACAGTTCAGAAACCCTGTATATCTGGAGAAAACGCTCGGATGATAAAGAAGGGCGTCAATAGTACGCAGATACGTCTAACCGACGCTTTGCTGCCAAGTAACCACCAGTAGTTGCAAGAGAGCCAGGGAAGGCAACGAAGGTAAGCATATCAACGCAGAGTCCAACCAGAGACCTGTCGATTACAAACCGGACAACCGAACCACTCGGCCAATGCCTGCGCACAAATGCCAACAAGTTGATGAGTGAGTGCAATGATGACAATCCATTAGCCAGACCAAAAAGCAACGAAATGTCTAGCCGAAGTTGATCGTGAACTGTCGCTGACAATTCTGCAGCATAAGTCACATGTTCGCTACCGATGCTCCGGGGAATCAAGGGAAAGATCTGTGGTGTAAAGCTAACCAACCACCAAAGTTAAAATGACTCAAATTCCCTGAACTGGGTCAGACAGATCCGTCAATAAGAACCAAGGATGGCCAGTCGATTCAAGAAGTGACTTCATAATGTTGGGAACTCTTTGAGGAAGATACGAAGTTTCAGTAGTGAACAAGGACACTGGAAAAAAGGGATCGAAAGGAGGGACAAAGGCCCCTGTGAAAAACCGTTTTTGCTCTACTCATTTGCAACGTGAGACGGTAACAAAGCACTTGAAGCGATGGATCGTTGCTCGAGCTCAGACATGTCAGAAGAAAAATGATTAACCTTCGCCCCATGTGTGAAGATCGTTTGATGCTTGGGAGATGAATTCATACAAACCAGTACAAATGCGCTTCATGCTGCAACGGAGTTGCTGGTGTGTAATAAACGAACGCGTGATGAAAAATCATGGCGCATCGATACCGAAAGAGTGCGACAGCCGGTCGCCGCGGCATGCGGTCAGTAGCCAAAGAGGAACAGTACACGAGTGTTTTCATCATACGAGCGCCAGTCGAGTGCTCTCCTAGACTAAGAGGAGTACACACCAGATTGCGCGGAAGTCGGCTTCATGTTCACTAATTCTGGAATGGTCAGCCCCACGCACAGCATTTGTTCGATGTGAGACCGAACATGTTGAATTTTAGCCGATCGCATATTTCACATGAAGCGCTTGAGAAGCGTAACTCTTTTGAACCATAAACGGCGATCAGTCCCGTCGGCCGAATGGCAAGTTTTGTCTTGTCGATTTATGGTGTTCATGATGTAAGCAGTAAATCGAGGACACTGCGGAAGTTTTGAGATTAATGAGGGGTTGTAAAATGATAACCACACAAGATCACGCGATGGCCTTGCGTGGAGATAAAGTTGAGAAATATAATACACTGACGGACGCAGAATGGTTGAACGATATAATGCCATTCACATCAGTGCTGGAATTTGTGCAAGTGACGTCAAACAGCCCGCGTCCCACCTTCCACTGGTTTGGTCCCATTCAACCGCAAAACCATAAGCAAAAACCCGACGCACGGTGAATGAAGTTACCACAATTCATCATCATCATCCGTCATCATCAACAGCGGTACATCAGCCATTTGAACTAATGCATCACTACTATACAACCATGATTACCTATGAAATAAAGAATAACAAGAGGGAGAGAAGGGGGACTTACCGGAAAACCTTAATGCCCTAAGCAAACATTCTGGGTCAAGGCGCCTACACCTTGTGTAGACAACATACCGTCACAAACAACTGGCTATCGTGCAAAGATAAGGCGGCACCGGCGAGACAGCTTCCTTGCGGCTTTCACTGCCACGCGTCATAATCAGCCATTACCCCGCAGATAACTCAGCACTAAACACACTTTAAACAGGGCAGTCCGACTAGGAGACGGCAGCAGACGCGCCACTGGTGTCGGTTGCGAGCCATGTCCTGTAAAGTCTCGAGCCAAGCACAAGTCGAGTCACGTGGACTCCAGCCCCGGAAGGCGAGACGGACCAACGGCACCCAGTTTGGTCGTCAGTGACTTCATTTCCCGCTGCCAAGTCAACTTTGTCTCAATTGGGTCAACTTGCCACCTGCTCCCACAGATATGTGGTACAGTTTGCATTAATTTAGACACGTTTAAGAGTTCAAACTATACCATCCCTTCAATCATGTTGACCAGAAGTACGAATCAACAATGTCGGTGCACCGAAGAAGAAAAACAATCAAGCGGAGGTTCGAGTGCGCGGAGGAACGACAAAAGGCAGTACGCGGAAAGGAGACAATACATACTATCAGGTAAAACGAAAAATAGATGTTGAATTCATTTTGCATTCACATAGTCAACAGAAAGCTGAATCATCTGTCCCCTCACCAGACAACTGGAAAGTGAATGTAAAATGAAGACAAAATCTAACGAATGATGGTTACCTGAGGTTTGCGTCCAGGTCTTCGAAACAAAGGAGGAATCGGTCACAAAAGATAAATCAAGTCCATTGTGAATAACCTAGAGATACAAATAGGAGCCGGAATAAAAGCGGTGTGTAAACGAACGTAAACAAGAAACATTCCATTGATTGCGAAAAAAACCGATGAGGGAACGAGCATTCAAGCTGCAACACAGTTCTGATACGGTGACCGAGTTGAGTTTGCAATTCACACAATGTTGCCTGTCATGACTGACATCTAAGGCAGGCGATCATGGAGATTTCCCGGAGTTCCGATATGGAGGACGCTAACAACAAACTTGTCTCACTCATAACTGGGAATATTCGCACAGTAGATCATCACGGAGGTAAGCAAAGCATCACATCAGATTAAGCACATTGAGGCGCTAACGTCCCGCAACAAGCTACTGACCTTTCGAGGTTGTAGAAGCTTTGAAATCACTGAAATTGTAGCCTGAATGTAATAAGGAGACTAACATTAGCTTCAGATCCAACGTAGCGGAATGGCAAGGGTCAGCTTCATGTGCTAGTCAGTACGCAGTCTGCTGCGTACCGCCACCTACATAGCATTTAGCTAAGCAAGCGGAAAAAAACAACAACGAGAGAAGCAACAAAATACTCGCAAGTGAAATTTTCATATTACCTCTGTCAAGTGATTTTAAATCATTTGGACATAAAAGGGATTGAATCACAAAGGAATAAAGAAGGATGACAGATGTTTCACACGTAGCGGTCTTGGGGTTCAGCACGACTATATGAAGTCAGAAGTCAATGTATAAAGCTCAAGCAAAATCGTCTATCGAAGTTAAAATGTTGCGAAACCTGACCCATGGGATCGGCAGACATAGAGGTTAGTTACATTCGACCATCGCTGACTTTGCAGTATAGCTCATCTTTGATAGGAACACTGTAAGAGTAATGAGCATGTTCGGTGTCTGTAGCTGGTGCAGGAAAAGCGAGTAAACGGCTCAGCACACTTATTTCACATACAAGTCACTTTTGCGAAAAGAAAACGGTGGTCAACAAGCTAGCGAAAGAAGTACGAGTGTCAAAAACGTCAACGAGAAGCAGAGAAATAAGGCACCGTCATCAAGAAAAGGAACAGACAGAGACAGCATATATATTGTGCCATAGGAATTCTGGAGGAAAAAGAAGTTCCGTATCCCATTCACAGAATTTGAGTTTCCGTTTCATTTCTTATGGGACGGAAGGGAGATCACCACTGACCTCGATCTTGAAGCTATGACATTCAGGATCTTTAACCAGCGACAGTTCGCGTCGCAGACCCCGACCAAGAAGTTGAGAACAACCAACCGATGCCAACTGTCTTGCCAGCATTCTCATACTGCCACTCCAAGTTGTAGGCCGCATACCACGACGCGTTCTCCAGCCCTGTCCAGCATCCGCAAATAACGCATGACACGGAAAATGCTGAACCGACATGCGCAATACGTGTCCATGTCAACGCAGTTGATGCAGTGAGGTGAACTACCCAAGCGAGTAGCTGCCTCCTCCTAAAAACGCGCTAAGTTTTATGTTGCTTACGTGACAACGGATCGCAAGCATTGGTGTTCGAAGACGGACAGTCGGCGCAGGTCAACGGTACGAACAAGCCAGGTTGCGTATCTGCGTAACAGTACAGCGCCGACAGTGGCACAGCAGTAAGGGTTGATAGCAGTCTACGAGCCGCGCAGCTCACGGCTGGCAAGCAACCACTTCAACTTTCTTGGAATGCTCAACGGACGCGATAGTAAGCAATAGAATGCTGCCTGCAGCCATGCAAAGACCCATGCGAGTGACACTGAAACGCAACTGAGAATGGTCCACGGCGAACAATCCAATGCAAAACCGTTAGGAAATGATACCTGTTGTTACTCTAACCGCGTTCTAATGTATATAAAAGTAAAATAAAAAGTATGCACAATCACCCGGGTGAATTGACACGTTTGACTCACCTGATAATAGGCGTCTGGTGGGAGATCCGCTTTATGGTCCAAGTACATTTGATGTAGATTGGGTAAGACAGGTGGACTGGTATGTTGCAAATAAAATATAATCAAGAGGGGTAGAACAGGAGGGGGAAAAGTGCCTCTGCTTGGCATATCCAAGTAGGCCATCTAAAAAGTGAAAATAACTCATGTCATTGAGTTCGATAGAATAATTGGTAAATATCAAGGATAACAGTTTGAGCCACGTGTTTTAAAATGTACAGATATGTGGTGCACCACGCAGCTGTATGAAGTTGATGCGGCTATTCCAGTCTGATCAACGCGTTCTGATGACTCTAGCAAGCGGTGTGGGCTTGCTAGGCTTAGCAATCAAAACGAAGGGCGTTGTCTCACTTATGATAACCTCACAGGACCCACAGATTTACGGGGAAAACGTCATCAGACTAAATCGTAACGATAGCAAATGAAAACGAGTGAACTGAGCCCGATGGAGAGTAAATTGTGGAGAATATGTGTGGTAAATGTGCCCTCTATCACAATGTAACAGCTCATGAGTTGGATAGGTGCATGAGGAGTTCATATAGTGGTCAAGCATTTTCTCTTATTAGTTAACGGAAAAAGATGCTAATCAGAAGTGTTGGTAATGATGCTCCGAGAATGCCGGAAAGGAAAACGCGATGCTCATACACACCCGTAGTAGATTCACTAAGATCCACAGCAAAACGTGTGGCGATGCCTAAAGACTTTGTTAACGTAGGCATATAAAAATTGTGCTTCTTAGTTGAATGTAAATGTTTGACGAAAGTGACGGTCGTAAGTTGGTGAGAAATGCTGAACGGAATATTTGGGGTACAAGGCATAAAGTGACTGATAGCGTGCGTGCGCTACCCAATAAAGAAAACCAGCTGAGTGAATAGAAAAAAAACGAGAGCCGGCACAGAACAAAACGTGGGAGGTAATTATTAGGGTTGCACTCGAACACTTACTCTGCAAAATTTGAGAAAAACGATCGCCAGAGTTCGAGCGCGCTGATCCAAGGAGAAATAATTCAAAATTAGTTTTGAAAGGCAATGGCCCCAACGATTTCCAGTAGTTATTCGATATTCCACCTTCTGCGAATCCGAAAAAGTGATACAGAACGATTCGGCGTTCGTGTGTGTGACCCTGAGACAGATAAAGCGCCACAAAGGTCAATGGAGCCCGTTGAGAAAAGAGGACAAATTGTCAAAGGGAATAAAGATGCTTAATCGATGAAGGGACAGTGATTTGAGCACTCAGCATGGATGAAACTGGTACTACAGATGGGAAAGAAGTGAGGCGACTGAAGTAGCTAGTCATTTTAAGCTGCGAGTCAAAGTGACAGAAATGTCGTCAGTAAGGTAGCAGACCAAACGGATATCTAGGATGTATTCTAATGAAATTCAACAAATCTGACACGGATAAGAAAGTGATGAACCAGTTGCCACTATTTGTGTTCCGTTATAGTACAAATCGAATGAAATGGAACAAAAAAGGTCAAAAAAGCGAAATTGAAATGCAAAGGTGGTGGTACTTATAATGGATTAGATATCAAATAGTATATATATATATATATATATATATATATATATATATATATATATATATATATATATATATATATATATACGCGCCCCATGCTGAGGCTGATGTTGCATTCATGATGCTTCTTCACCGCAGTTGGGCTAAACCTACATACACTTAAACTAGGTCTCTTTGTAAGCTGGATAAATTTCATTCCACTTCATTTGATTTGTTCTGCCTACAGGAATAATCTTCTACTAAATTTACACGTTGCTTACGGTAATTGCGCTTGTTTTCGTTAACTTTATTGCGTTCTTAGCATTTTCTGAGTCACTTCTGCACATTTTTTACTTATCGCGGATTCGTTGCTAGCCAACATACTTCAAATGCTAATTTAGGGAAGAGTTATGTCTGCATAGCTGTCTTCTTTAACAGATATATTTTACTTGTTACTGTTATTTCAAGTGATTGGCTGTTGTTCGATACCCCCGGTGCGGCTGCGCTTGATGTGCACGTTGACAAGTTGTCTACCTGTCTATTACCCACTACCTCTTCCATACTGTCTCTAGGAGATAGTTGGTCGTTGCTGGAGGGGACGGGGTGCACGGTCCTTGTGGTCGTGCTAGGCACGAAGAGTGGTTCCGTGCACTCAGTGTGGAGCGGATTACGGTCCAGCCACCGCCTTGTGTGCGCTTGATTCCCAACTACAGCATGCTTGTGTTTGCCTGTGAAGGAGTGTGGACCGACTCCGTTGATGAAACGTGGCTCCCATCCACATGCCTCCCGGTCTTATTCCTTCGGGTTTACACTGGATATGGGGTGTGTGGTTGGAGCTGTGGGTGGTGCAGCGCAAGCCACCCATGGTCCCTCTGTAGGCGCAGGCGTCCTGTGGCTGGCCACAGTGACAGGCAAATCCGAAACCGGATGCCGCCAACCATATATATATATATATATATATATATATATATATATATATATATATATATATACAATGAAACCTCACAGAGAAGTAAGCATGATCGCACCAAAGCGAGTGAAAAACGGATGCCATTAGTTTGCTGTAGAAATGCCGCTGCTTACGGGTAGGCTCCACCAAGTAGCGATCAGTTTCTAAGTTTGACAATACCAACTTTTGAAAGCAGACTCATGGGCCAGAGAGGATGTCGGGAGCCTAAATTACTAAAGCTAGTTGTAACACCGCATGCACAATCTCAACTTGGAAAGAAAATGAGTGATAATGTGACAAAACATGATGATTGCTTACGAGTGTATTTCGGACAGCAATCGATGAGAGGAAGAGTCGCGAGAGTTTGAATCACCCTGCAAAGAAGGCGCATCGAGAGGATCGGGAGGACTTTCGCATAGGGGCATGTTGTTCTCAGTATGATCAGCTTGAATGGTGGAGTCGGCTGCAGAAGAGCTGAGGAAGTCGAACACTTCGGCCAAAAGGTATCCAAGTCCAGGGGTGTGAGCGAATGAGTCAAACGGAGAAGCCATGGTGCGTAACTTTTGGCCTTCCGTGAGAACATCAGACATAGATGATTCGGGAGCAGTGTCAGCACGATCCACATTAATTTCAACGGAACTGTCAGGTAAAGTCAGCCCGTCCCAAGTACTTCCAATACCAGATATTGTCAAATCTTTGGATAATAAAAAATATATGTGGGGGGGGGGTCATAATCGAATCGAAAGATATAAATCAACGACTGAAAGTAATAGAGATCCATGCAACAAAGACTAGACGCGTAAAACATCACCGAAAGCGAAGAACCAGGTTCTAGAGAGGCAGGAAGCGTGATAAAAGACAACACTAGTACGCCGGTGTGTCGCACCGAAGCTTCAGTGCTACGCAACCACCACCACCGCCAGTCGCAAACGGGCGAGGATACTGCGAAGCGATCCGTATCTACACGCAGATTAGAAACAGTGACCTTGGAGTTGCAAGGCAGCTTACGCAACACTTCGGCGACTGGCCGACAGGAAGTGTGTTATTGATACAAAAGACCGATACTAAATTCAACAAGGCAAATGACATTGGGAACAGGAAAGGAAACAGTGCGAGTTTGCTCAGTAAATTATAGGTAGGAAAGAATAGCATAAATGGGAACCCTGTATAAGAACAGAGGTTCCATAGGAAGAAAGTGCATAAAAATGAGCAAACGATGAAATCTGGGGGTAGCCAATGCCGTGTGGTGATATAGTACTAAATGGGCAATTTGTCGTAGTGTTGATAATTGAAAAGACGACGATCTAAGGCGTGAAAACTTCTAATACAAGCCGCGCACTTATGCATAGCATAGATACGATTCGGCTAGGAGGAGAAAAGATGTACATGATGTTTTCAAACGAACCTAAATGTTATGGTTTCAGAGATTTGCAGCCAAAAACTGTTTGGTGGCGCTTCGCATACGTAATACAAGGTTTTGCATTCATCGACGGTAAATTACATTTGTCACAAGCTTCACCATGACTCAAGGGCAGAGAGATTTTGCTGCACGTGCCATACTACTTCTTGATCACCTGCACGGCATGTTGAATTGACAACTCATGTAATCCGCGGAGAGGAATGCAAAACTGTTCTTCATACTATGAAGTACACCATTTAGGTTGATAAGATACAGTAGGAGGCGAAGAAGGCTCAGTTAAATGACCCCGCCGGTGCCCGCATCCCAAGCAAGTATGGCTGTTTATAAGCAATGTCTACCATACTGATACACTTCTCGAGTGCTAAACCGGAGTTATGGAAAATCCCCAAACTGGTATTACCCATTCTCATACATTTACACGAAAAGCCAACTGCTCCAGAATATTGCTTCATTTTTCTGGTATTCAAATCAGTGAAGAAACTGCTTCTCGATACTTCTCTTCAGGTTAATACATGTCTAAAAAGTGGTTGAAATTGCGACTGGCTAAGGTAGCTGGGCTCAAGTTGATTCAGTCTCAACAGGTTGCTTTATCGGTTGATCCGCTTACGTAATCGCTGAAGATAAAAGCTCACTTGGGGTCACGGGGTCACTGCCTGAGATGGAATTAATTGGCGTTCACGATGAGATCAGAGCCAGGGCAAAGGTAGCGTATGTACTAGCGTGCATTGTTTGCACAGTTTCGGTTGCATTAGCCGGATCGCAGTGGCCTCGGCCGTCATCATTAGGCGCTTTTTAATCCCTTTTGGGTAGCGTATTGGCGCAGCGTAGAAAAGTTTAAAAGCTTCCAAGGTAACAACTTGATAACCGCTTTGGATTAAATGTTCCAACACAGAGCTGTCGATAGGTTACACTGTGTGCCTCCATACTGCCGCTGTCATCTGTTTTGCCAAGCGTCCGGTCGTGTGTCAGTTGTATCTTATACCACAGGTGCTGTATGGAACATTTAGTGTTCACACTAGCTTCGCTTCGTAGCTCTGTTAACTGCTGTCATTAAGCACCAACTCATCAGGTTCAATACGCTTAGCTCAGTGGTGCTTTTTATTATTCCTGCTGGGGTTTTCGTGTCTATACATAGTATGAGGTTGTGTGACCTATAATAATAACGAAGCATACCCAATTGAGTATGCCTAGCGTATCTTTCCATTCTTCGCAGCGCAATCAACACTGCACACGTAGATTTCACACGAAGTATCCCCGAATCTATAGACGCTAATATTTTAGGCAGGATTAGTAGGAAATTATTGAGAATGCGTGTAGCTCGGGCGCGACGCGTTACAATCTGCACGCCGATGGTAGACCTTTGCTAGCTGGCAATCCTCCACCAACGAGCAATTATACTTCTTGCTTGAATGTTTGCGGAAAAAAGTCCTAAAACTAAGTATACATTTACGTCCGCCTATCAATAATCTTTTGACCTGGAAGAGCACCGAACAACATGAACGAGGACTGCTACGTCTGCTTATCAAGGATGCACACAACCGATGGAATAAGTATCAACTTGTAATCGACGACCAAAAGATTTGTTTATCCAATATTGGAGAACAGTTAAGCAGAGAGCTTGAGAAAGCGATAGCTATTAGAACTCACAAGAGGAAGCCTGAAAAAAAGCAAAAGCTAAAGAGGAAGCTGGACAAGATCTCATAACACAAAGTAGCAAATGAAGATCTCTGGATTAAGTATCTGTTCAAACGCGCCCTATCAGAAGCAAAAAGAGCAGTCAATGTGCTAGGTCTGCAATTCAGTTACAAAGATTCCAATCCCATCAATTTCATTGCCGCACTTACGTCGATGTTGGCCACATGCAACATTGCGGAGGAATCCCAATATGTAATTAGACACAACATCATCCCCGCTCTGAGTCACACAGTAGAAATCAACCTATTCAACGTAAGCTAACTAAAGGCACTGACAAGCCTCCGAAGAGACAACACCATTGTTATATTACCGGTCAACAAGGGACGTCTAACTGTGATAATGGACAAAACTGACTACATGGATAAGGCACAAGAACTGCTCGGAGATGTGAACACCTACCAGCCGATAAGTGAAAATCCTACAAAACATCTGGAAAGTCAGATCAAACGAGCTCTTCAGAGATTGGAGCAAATGGGACAGATTACGAAGTTAGAACACATCAAGATGAAAGTCGAGAATTCAGTGATATTATGGTCTACCCAAAGTACACCAAGATGGGGTACGGCTTCGCCCTATCGTGTCATTACCAGGGGCACTGAAGTAGACTGTCTAAGGAACTCTGGAAACGGCTGAAATACCAAATCGCAGACTCAGAGCATTCAATCAAATCGGCAGAGCAATTTATTGGAAAACTCAAGGGAATAACAATAGAAAGAGACGAGATGATGGTATCCTTTGATGTTACAGCTTTGTTCACATCGATCGACAAGAAGCTGGCAAGGCAAACAATGATGGCCCTACTTGAACAGCATGGGGCGGCAAATTCGAACAACAGAATTGAAATCGCCCAAATGATGGAGTTGTTTGATTTCTGTCTCACCAGACACTTCACTTTCAATGGTCAAACGTACAAAACGAATAATGGACACGCCAATGGGTTCACCAATCTCTGGACTGGTAGCCGAGGCAGTGATGTAAGCACCGGAACAAAAAGCACTGCCGATGGTGGAACCCAGGCTTTGGGTACGTTACCTGGACGATACTTTTGTCATCCTTAGCGTTCCAGACTGCAAGAAACACACCACCTGAGCAATAATATTTTCCCTGGCATCCATTTCATCAAAGAGGAGAGGAACAACGACCAGCTGTCATTTTTAGACGTGCGTGTGGAAAGACATGCTTCCGGGCCCTTGGAAACAACAGCCTATCGAAAAAGGACGCACACTGATCAGATCTTAAAGTATCGCAGAGACCATCAGGCCAATTATAAGCGCAGTTGCGTGAGGATACTTTGCAAACGGGCCCAAACACACTGTAGCACGCTGCAGCTGAGGAATGCGGAGGAACACCACCTATTTAACATGTTCCAGCGAAATTCTCACCCCAGAAGTTTTATTCTACGCTGCCTGAACTCGAAAAATCAACCACCGCCCACTTCCGCAAGAGCAACGGAAAGGAAAACATTCGTCCTACCTTACATCCATGGGATTTGTGATATGGCAGCGAGGCTTTTAAAGGCTTACGGAATCAACGTTGCACATGAGGCAACGGGAACTAGTTGGAGTAAACTTTTCGGGGTAAAAGACCAACTGGATAGAAAAGAAATATCAGGTGTAATTTACAAAATTTGCTGCGAAGATTGTGACAAGTACTACGTGGACCAGACAGGGAGGAAACTTGGCACAAGAATGCATGGACACAGTTTGGCCATCCGCCGCCATGATGAAAGATCACTAATGTCAGTACATATGGAGGCCGAAGGCCAACAGTTCAATCTGAAGAACGCCAAGATACTTGGAAGAGCAAAAAACCGCAGAGCGCGTGACTTCCTCGAGGCCTGGCATTCGGGCCAGAACTCAAACAACAAGCATCTAGAAATCGAAGGAGTCTACGAAGCTCTGCAAGTGAGGTCAAAAATAAGAACCAGACCGACAGGGAGTAGACGTGGCCACTTGACCGACTCATGTTAGCCATTGGAAGATACATTCAAAGCAGAAGACGAGCAATAGTCACTGGGATTTGGCACTGTCTTACCAGACTGCAAATCAGACCTCTATAGCCGCACTGAGGATGTTGCCTAGTTTGGCAACGAAACGTCTGCAATAAAATTGCCTAGCTCAGAGAACATAACAATCCTCGCACAATTAGTAGGCTTATTTCCAGTTAACATCGATGATTGAGAAGAGCGACAGTTGAGTGCCAGGTCGGTGAACACAATTGACAGAGCATATATGTAGTGATTACTTGGTATACGAGCTCTCAAAGCGGTCATCAAATCCTCCGCTATAAGCTGGCGGCGGTGCACTTCATCCGCATCAGCAAGAACATCAGCCGCCGCGGACTCCAGCGTTTCGTTCAACGCCTCTCGGTGGGCACGTGTGATTTCAGGGAGATGCAAAAGTACGGAACGAACGGAGTGGGTCTGTAAGGTATGTAAAGCAATATCACTTAGCATTCAGAGCTGCGCCCTGGAGCAATAAAAAGCTTCGGAAAACGCAAGGGGATTAGGTAAGTGAGAGTTATGCAATCAGTAATGCTTGTGACAAGTTCATCAGTGAAATAAAGATGAAAATGCATTAAGTGTAGAAATACGATCCACACTTGATAAAATCGTTAAGTAAAGCAGTTCTTATTCTATGAGAAAGGAATGATGCAAGGCTGTGCGCAGAGGAACGATCAGTGTGTCGAAACGTAGTAAACGATGATTAACGGTATAATATCTGCGCATAGCCACCATGTTCGTATTCGTTGTCGCTTCTACCTTAGTACACATGCAGTGGACGTCGTACAACAAGAGCAACGATCAGGTTTCAGTAAATTAGTTTGTATGGAAGCTTGTAAAGAAACAAACTGCAGGTAGTCGATAAGATACTGGAATGCAGTCATGTGAGTAAGTGGAACACTGGTGGATAGTCGACAGGAGGTTAGAGACGGTGAAGGAAGGAGAGTGCAAAAGAACAGCTGGGATCAAGTCGGATATCTTCGACGACCCGGTGTGAAGATGCGGAGGAAGAATGCTTCCATGGGTAGCCTTCAATCCACTGGTTAGAGGGTTGGCAATGAATTCGGTTGCGACTAATGCCGACACTAACATCAGTAGGCTGGACAGCGTTCAAAGGGTTACGAGAAGTCTATTTGTCTGCACTGGCGAATGATGTACGGTGTGACAACAGACGTATGGTAATTTTACATGACTGGGATTGCGAGTTAAAAAGGCGCTTAAGTAGTCAGTTAGATGGTTAAACCAGTGAGGGAAGAATGTCCATCAGTCAACAGCAGAACAGCGAAGAGTTAGACAGGACACGAGATAGCAGTCGCGTGCAAGAGAAGCAAACACAAAACACACTTAATAGAAACCCTTATGAGACAATGATTGGAGTAGGCAGAAGCAAAATACATAGGGCACTGGACGAGGCATCAGTCAGAAAAAGTCAGCTCAATTAAACGACTATGATCCGGGCTTCAAAATGCAGCGGATCCAATTGTCCCATCTCACGTCGCAAGAATGACAATAAAAACGGCGATAAAATGTGGTTGAACGTAAATACAAAGAAAATGGAATAAGGAAAGAAGTGTGCGAGTAGAATCAGGATGGGCACTTATCGGTTAGATGCAAGAAACTGAGTGCAGGAACGCCGCCGACTGTGTGACTGCCCCATGTCTGATAGTGTCTAACCGCTGATGTGTAACGTCCCAAGGCCCCCATCTACAAAGACGACATGCACCAGCTTGATCAAGCCCATCGAACAATTTTTTCATGACACGTCATGGACTGGCCAACTTGCGGTTTCGCCCAACTTGGTGCAGCCACGACGTATAATCCACGCCGAAGAAGCCGATCAACGCGCAAAAGAAAGACATGACCTAGACAACATGAGCGGTTAAGACGCGGCAAACACGCAAGTGATGCAGCAGAAGGCTTATTGCTAAAAGCTAACTAGCGGACCTCAGCATTACTCACCGGGGCTATCCCACCAGCTGTGAGCAATACTCCGCAAGCACGGGTGATCAAAGATGACCAAGCGTCGAATGTCTTCAGTACGAACTGGCCAGGTCTCTGATTTATGCAATAACCCTAGTCTTGTCTTTATATACCCTACCTTTAACTGAGAGATTGATATTCCACCGTCTCCATAAATGGCTGAGTCTCTGAAATGCTAAACGGACCCGGCTGATACGCGAAGTAAGCGGCGGAGATGATAGCTTCTAAGGTAAGTGAACCAAACCAACACTTCCAATGGTTGTTCGCTCATAGCCAAAGCCAGTGGTGTATCGGTCTAGTGCTGCAACATGACCCTGCACCTTCAAAATGCAAAGCACATGCCGAAGCGTGCAGCGCTACGCCTCAGTTTAGTCAGTAGTGCTTGCACATCTACTGCGTCAGACCTAAGGGGAGCTATCTCGTCTGCGTGCTCAAGGTTTGTTAGCCGGTCACCTGGCGGAAGTTTCACTCTAAGTCTGAAAGTACGGGTTAATCAGGATAATTTCGATCACAAGGTTAAAAAGGAGATGTAGGACAACCCTGGTGAAACCCAACTGTCATCGGAACTCAGGAGACAGCTTCCCGTAGACTCTTACACGGTCTTGGGAGTCACGATAAAGAGACTTCATAATGGAAGGGAGTTTTCCAGGCACTCCCTTTGCAAACAGGCAGTGACACAGGCTGGCACGATCAACAGTCAAAGGCGGCTTTCAGGTAAGGAAAACCACCATAGCTGGTCCCCTTTAATTGTCGTTGCTCCAACATTTGAGTAAATATGTGGTCGATGTAATCACGACCAGGGCGGAAGCCAGCATGGATTTCAGTGATTCAGCTATCACAAGGATCAATAAGTCGTCGAAGAATCATACCCGTGAGAAGTTTGGATGCAATGGGAGTGTTCTGAGCCTGGGTCCGCCAGCAGCGTCAAGAGAAAGAAAACACACCGGCTCAGCACACAAGCGTTCTATTTACAATTCTGAGGTTCCGTACAACTAGCTGTGTTGTTAAAAACTCACCCGCTTACGAGACCGATTACCTGATCGACCGCACTAAGGCGGGCGATTCCCTTCGTCCCAGCTTTCAGCCACCATCACATCCTTTTCCTTTTGTTATGTTAGGATTGTTACAATAAGTTTCATACTGTGTTCCGCAGCGTGTGAGTTTCTTTCCTTGTACTGGGGGGATAGGTATCCTTTCCGGGTGCTGCTGCCGATCCTCGTTTTGTGAAAACCGCCCGTTACGCGTTCCTTGGAGTTGTACTCGGTCGCGTCGAACAATGCTATCCCTATCTTGACTTCGTAACTCCTCTCTCCTTTGCGGCTCTCAATCACTCCCTTCCTCCACTCACCTTCTGTTTCTGGTGGTGGTTGCACTCATACTTCTTCTCCCACTGCCAGTGGGTGGAGGCTTCTCGATCCGCGATCGTAGTACTTCTTTCGTCTTAACATCCTGTTCCGTAGTCGCTCGTGTGACGAAGCGGGCGGCACTACCTCAGGCTGGAGTATCAGCGTTCGTGTTCTGTGGCTGAACAGTCGCTGTACCGGACTTGCCCCAATTCCCTTGGATGGCGTGTTTTTGCGCTCCAGAAGCATAATAGAAGGGTCCTTGTGAGTCTTTTTTGCTTTGGCAAGCACCTACTTTGCTTCTTTCAACGCCGGTGATGGAAATCCCACCTTTTGCTGAAGGCATGGAACTCTGCGCTAGTGAACTGCGGTTCGTTGTCCGAAACCACCAATTCCGGTATTCCATGACGAGCAAAATGGCATCGTAACTTATTCACAAGGTATTGTGTATTGGTAGTAGCAAGAGCATCAATTTCGAAGTAGCCACTGAAGTAATAAACCAGCACCAAATAACTTTTCCTATCGTTGACGAAAATGCCCACTGCAACCATCTGACAAAGCCTGTCCGGAACGTCGCAGAGGATCATCGGCTCTTCTGACTGACGCACATCGTGTGTGCGGCACGCCACACAATTCGAAACGCAATCGCGTATTTGGCTACTCATTTCTGGCCAGAACACTGGCTCGCGCTCTGGTCACGCAATTGCTGGTTCCCAAATGAGCACAATGGACGAGCTTCAGCACTGAAGGTCGCAACACCTTTGGGATTAATACCCTGTTGTCCTTGAATATCAATCCGTCCTGGGGGATAAGTTCGTCTCGAAAATGAAAAAACGGGTTCAGCTCTCTGGGAAGCAATTTCTTACCCTCGAGCCAGTCGTTCATTACCGTCTTTTCCAGTGGCCTGCACAGTTCGTCTTCCTCCGTGCACTGTTGGAGCAGCTTCAGTCGATCCTCAGTGACAGCTACCAGTCGAGTTGCGTGGACGAAATCTGAATTTTTCTCTTCTTTGGGCGTGCCTGATAGCTATGTCCTCGACAGCGTGTCTGCAATATGCATTTCGGGGCCAGGTCGATAGATAATCTCTAGGTCATACCTTTGAAGACCTATGAGCATCCTTTGTAAGCGGCGGGGAACAACATGGAGTGGTTTGCCAGCGATGGAAACCAACGGTTTGTAGTCAATAAAGGCGGTAGTCTTGCGGCCGAAAGTATAGTCATTGAGACGCTCTACAGCGTAAACCAACGCGAGCATCTGCTTTTCTATTGGAGCTTAACGACGCTCGGCCTCGTCAACGTTCTGCTGCGAAAGTCGATGAGCTTGCCGTTCTGCATCAGTGCGATCACGATACCGTACTGACTGCTGTCGCATTGGATGTCGATTGCGACTGCCGAGTTATGATAGGCGAGAACAGACGCATTAGTAATTAGCTCAAGTGTATGGAAAGACCCTTCTTGCTCTGCATCCCAATGCCAGTTTTCTCCCCTGTGAGTCAACTTCCGGATCGGTACCATCACATCGGCTAATCTGGGCAGGGATCGACTCAAACAGTTGATCATCCCATTTATCTGGCTAACAGCTTTACGTCTGTGTGGGGAGGCATCTTGTTTATAGCTCTGATTTTCTCAGGGTCCGGTTTCAGCCCTTCAGCACTTACCACGTGCCCATAGAATACCACTTTCGTACAACGCAGTTCGATCTCTCACTGCAGTTTGATATTCCTTTCAGCGCACCATCGTAAAAGACGATGGAGGTTCCGATCGTGCTCCTCTCGGGTAGCACCGAACAGTAACACATTGTCTGCTACACAGAATGCTCCCTGTAAATCGTCCAAAGTCTGCATTAGCCGCTTCTGGAATACCTCACTGGATAATTTCAGCCCAAATGGTAAACGCAGCCAGCGGAAACGCCCGAACGGTGTTCTAAACGTTGTTAGGTAGCTTGACTCCTAGTCTTCTAGACGTGTCAAAACGCTGAGGCGAGGTCGACTTTTGTGAACATCCTAGCCTTGCACAATACCAGCAGTATGTCGTCTAGCGTCGACAGCGTATACTATTCCCTTCTGAGTACAGCGTTAAGCGGGTTCGGATCAATACACATGCGGAACTTGCCAGACTTCTTAGTGACAATCGCTACCTGGCTGACCCAGTCAGTCGGCTTATCAACTTTATCTATTACCCCATAGACTGCAAAGAAGTTGTAGCTCGTTCAAGAATATTTCGCGCAAAACAATAGGTATCTTCCTAGCCAGTAACGCTACTGGTTTGGCGAACTCGTTTATTGACAAGTGAGCGCGTTCCTCGAACATCCATACCACTCCGATAAACACACTCGGGTACCTCAAAAATATCTGCGTCAGACTTACACAAATGAACAAAACGCTCGTGGTTAGAATAAACAAAACCAAGTCTCTGGATGGAATTAATGTCCAGAATGGGCATAAAGTCTTCTGACACTACCAGGAACTCCAGCTGGCATTCTGTTCCATTCTTCGGATTGATCGTTCCCAACATGGCACACCCCTTCGGTTGTAGCCTCAAACAATTCCACATCCAGAGACAAGTCTGAGTTTTGTCACACGGAACTTCCCTGCAGTACTTTTCTGTAAGTATGTTGGGTGGGCCCTGAGTCCAGTTGAAAATGTGCAGGTCGTCCTCGAACCAAAAGTGTTGCAAAGACATATTTGTATTTTACGCAGTGACTGCCAATGAACTCACCTTGTAAGATCTGAAGCAACAAGTGAAATGACTTCTCCTAGAGCACTTCATGCAACTTCGACCCCACGCTGGGCAAGTCTCTTTACACTTTTAGTGCCTGCGGCCGCAAAACTGACAATGTGGTTCCTGCTCATTAGATGCCGGGTGCATACGTTCAATGGCTCGGGATACGGTGCACAAATCCGTGTTTGTCTCGGCCCGCGATCGTTCGAATTGTTGGTCTGTCCTGGCTACACTGAGTCAGATGTCCACGCATTGTTCCAAGGATAAATGTCTCTGTCGCAGAAAGCGGCGTGTGAGTCCGTCATTCTTTATCCCGATAACGATGCGGTCACATATCATGGACACCATGATGCAATCAGAGAAATTACAGGTAAGTGCCAAAAGCCTCAGTCCTATGATGTAACTCTCGAAAGATTCACCCGGTAAACGGTTGCAGTAAAAAAACATATACCCCTGGTATGTCTCATTCGCGCGACCTTCGCAGAATTTACTAAATCTTTTCAACGCGTCAGACAGGTCGGTCTCCTGACCGACATCGCCAAGCTCCAGCGTTTACAGTACCCTTCTGGCATGTCATCAACAGCGTGCCTAAACATTGCGAGCTGGTAGGTCATCTGCTGGGCGTCCAACTGGGTCAGTGCTGCGAAATCCACCCACTTGGTCTTCCGAATTCTCCAGCTGTCTGCTAGTGAACTGTCATCTGCAAGGGAGTGGGAAACGGAATCACCGACTGCCCACCAAATGCAAACTGCGTCTTGGACAACGGGTTCTTCCTCTCTTCTGTCACCATACTGTCAGCCTGGGTCTGTCAGCCGCGTCAAGAGAAATAAAGCGCAGCGGCTCAGTAAACAAGCGTCCTATTTACAATTCCGAGGTTTAAGAAGGAAACTTGCGAAGAGATAGCTCTTTTCGATAATTTGCATCACGCATCTACATTTATGAAGAAGATTAAGCAAACGGGGATGTTAACTGGAACTCGAGTAATAGTGGTTAGATGGCAATTTAAATAGGGTCAGGTGAAGCCAATCGATAGTTGTGTCAATGAAGTCATGTGGTAGAACTTACGGCACTGCATCTCGCGCATACAAACAGCGAAAACAAGAATACAGTGACCGATGAGGAACAAAACGCACAGTTGGACCAGGAGTTCTGTCAGATACGGACAGAATATTGGTCACGGCTAGGGCAAACTGATAGCTTGTATTAGCGTCCTTCGCTTGCATAACTCAGGTTTTAATAGCCTAACGGCCATTGTTTCGGCAGTGGCCAGCAGGCGTTTCCTGAGTTCTTTGGGAACGCGTCTCGAAACAGTATGGACCACCTTGAATCCGTCTTCTATCCGAATTTGATGCCCAGTAGTAATCAGATAGCGCTGGGAACATTCTTAACCGTGCCACGTTGTAGAGAAGCAGGACAGTGTTCCGCTCCCTTATTAGACAGACGATTGGTCGTGTGCCCGAGGTACCTTGAACCACAGGTGCGAGTTGGTATAACATAAATGCTTGCAAATGAGACGGGATTCTGTCGTTGAGGCTTTTGGTGATGAGCGGAACTGTCTAGTTTCTGTACAACTAGCTATTTTTAAACTCACCCGCTTACGCGATCGATCGACCGTAAGGGCGATTCGCCTAGTCTCAGCTTTCAGTCACCATCACAGAGAGCAACGTCAATGGTTCGATGACTTTCGCACAGTGTGATGACCTGTTTTGAAGATGGGCCAGGCAGTTGACAGTGGCCAGTCTGTAGGCATTTCTTTAGTGTCACAAATAGGTCGCGAACTTCCGTATTGCTTACGTGCTCTTGCCACCACACACCAGCAATTACTTGCAAACAACGACTGTCAAAAACTGACAATGGCTTTGTGTCCCCCCGAGCGAACGAGCCAGGTCTCACAGCTCTACAACAGGACCGAATGGACGGAGACATTGTACTCACTGTCATCGAATTTGGAAATGACCCCGCGACGAAGTCATAGATGTCTCAGTTTGATTGCAGTGGGCCTTCATGAGCTGTTGTAAAAGTTCATCTCCGACACCGACGCAGCCGTAATGAAACTCCCTCGAGAAATGAAGCAAGCGATTTGTTCCAAAATGTTACCAGCACTGACGATCGCGGGCACGGAAATCTGCTAATCCTGGAGTAGCGTTTTACAGCAGGTAGGGGTGAAATACTTGATGTTTTAACCGCCAAGCCCTTCGAAGTATTTTAGATGGTTTGCTGTAAGTCACCGGTGGAAGTGACGGAGCTAGAGAAATTTACGGAGCATGATTTGGTTGATGCACCTTGACGGCTGATTGCTCTCGAAAAACTCTCGCCGGTCGCTGAAAACCTAAGAAATAATACGGATACAGATTTTAGAAGCAACAAATGCAAATTAAAGTCCACGGTATTTAGCGTAATTTTTGCAGGAGCCTTTCTGGTGGATCTGGACAACGACTGACAGTCTCTATGAGGTGTGAATGTTATCATCAGTCCAAATCTTCGTAAACTGTGATATGATCTCGTTGAGGCGCACAATCCTGTCATCTTTGAAAAGAGCCGGGGAAGGTTATCACGGCCAAGAGCTTTATGACGCATCAAAGATTAGATTGTGGGGACAGAGCCAGGCACAATCGGATGGAAAGAAAAATGTCACAGCGGGTTGTGGTGGATAATTAAATGGAAGAGTAAAGTGCTGTGCCAAGTGGTTCAAATGCTCGCGTAGGCTGATTTACATATTGTCCGGCTGGTAGTGTGTGAAATGCTACTAGTAGCCTTGATGAGGCAAAACGAACTGCGAAAGTTCCCAAGACGTAGTAACTCCCACCTAAACAGATCGTTTGATTACCGGGATTCACAGTCAGAGCGATTTTCTATTAGCGGTTTAGAGAGAGAGTCCGGCGGAGTTCGTTGTGCACGGTACCGGCGGCCACAGCCCTTCGGCGATCTGGCAGCTCGGAACATGTTGCTAAAACCCTGTCTTTAGCAGTGCAGAGCGCGAGACCGCAACTGGACAAATCTGCGGACAGCACGACCTGTTGCACACCTGACCAATGCTGGTCAACACACGGAGGAGGGGAGAGAGCGAGGTTTGCACGTAGTCTCTGTTGAGTACTGAGTACTGGTGCGAAGCAGCGAGTAGAGGTTGCTCTGTGTAGCTGCATCATTCGTCGTTTTCGGACATGAACTTTTTATTTATCGTTTCGCTCTCTGTACTTTGCCTCTGCAAATTGTTGGTCTAGTAGCATCTTGAATTTAGACACGGTGTTCGCTTCTACTATATGCTGAGGCAGGTCGTTCCAGACATTCACCACTCTGCGTTCGAAACAGAGTTGATGGGCGACCCGCTTCAAATCCGGGACGATAAGTTTATACCGGTGTCCTCGCGTGCAGCTTGGTGTGCGCAGATGAAGTAGTTGTCTCAACATGGGGTAATCACTCAGATGTAATATTCGGTGCGTCATGATGAGGTCAACCCTCAGCCGACGATAAGATAGGGTGTATAACCCTAGTTTCTTACATCGGCCTTCGTATGACATACCTCGTAAGTTGGGAATCAGCCTGGTGGCTACATGCTGCACCCGCTCAAGCTTTTCTACTTCGCCCCGGGTGATGGGACAGTATGCGGGAGTGCCGTACTCCAGCATTGGTCGTATTATCGAGACGAAGAGGCGAGAAGCAATCTCTTCGGACCAAGTGCTAAAGCTGCGCCTGAGAGCCCAAAGCATACGAAGGCTGTTTTGGTACAGCCTATTCGTGTTGTCAATGGACTTTAGGTCGCAGCGTGAGAGTACACCGAGGTCGCGCACGAAAGGAGCGGGATGCAACGGTTGTCCAGCCACTGTGTACGTTCGGCCGTGATCATACTTACCCAACCTCATGAATTGCGACTTGGCAGGGTTGATCGGCAGGTTAACCTCAGCAGACCATGTCGAGAGGCGGTCGAGATCCTGCTGAAGTAAATCGCAATCATTGAGTGTGCGGATTACTCTCCACACTTTCAAGTCATCTGCGAACAAAGCACAATGTGAATGTAGTAGCTGAGGCACATCGTTTATATGGATTAGAAACAATATCGGTCCCAGTACAGTGCCTTGGGGCACGCCGCTGCTCGATGGATACCAGTCAGTTAGATTGTTGTCCACCTGGACTCTCCACTTTCGATCAATAAGGAAATTGCTGATCCATTTAGGAAATTGCTGATCCATTTAGGAACTGTTGGGTCTTCCAATTTGTCAGTGTTCAGTCGGGTTTGTTTTGTCCCAGGTGAGCCATTGAAACACGCGCCAAATGCAGCACACATCAATGCAGGATCGCTTACGACACAAGGAAACCAATGTGATTGGTAATCCCGTATGCTGCCACGCCATCTGCGACGTGACTATGTGGCCAAGTTACGATCAACGCTGGGTTGATGATGAAGGACACCAGGTGGTATAGTGGCATCCAGGGTGACGAAAGCGCTTGATAGAGGAAATGATGGTCGGCATATAGACAAACTAGTCTTTCACGCTGTCAGAACGATCATCACCATATAAATACGGTCCCCGAGGTGGCGTTCACATGGCAGCAACAGACTGAGAAGTGACGATGTCCGTTTTAGGCACCCCTAAGAGCAGATAATGTGAGTTCAGAAAATTGGTCTTTGTATCTGAACTGCGGTCAGTGTGCACGTCGGAGAAGACCGCAAAAAAAGCACGCTTGCCGACTGTACGTTCGCTAACCATGCGAGAACCACGGAGTCTCATAGCACAAAGAGGACTGTTGACTGGAATCCAATCAAGATCGGTCTGGGCTCTGAAACTGAGTGCTATCCCAACACCATCTTGTCCGGATAGGGCAGACCCAGAGAGACGGAGAGGAAAACAAGTGTGTAGGTGCATAGGGGACCAAAATCGGTAGACTGTGTTGGGATCCTGAAGTCGTGTCTTAATAAGACAGCAAATACAAACAGCAAGAATCTTCTTTGTGCACGCAAGTCCAGCTTGTTAGGTGAGCTGTGCACATTGAGCAATGTTAGCTTGAACCAGGTTGCAGTAATGACAATGGGAGACTTAGTGGCTGGTGGTACCCTGTGTGTGGCTGTTGGAGGGTGTCAAGATGACACATTAATCAAAGGGAGATAGGGTTGTTCATCTTTGAGGAATGAAGTAAAAATGCGAGTGAATAATGCAAGAGGAAAGAGGATAAATTAGTGTCGTGTGATTGCAAGGTTAGGGTAGTAGCAGAAAAGTAAACCGTTAAAAGAGTGAGACAGTATACGAGTGGGGTTCCATGATTCATCAATAGGCGAGATACTACACGGCTGCCTATGTCGAAGTAGGCAGCTTGTCTTAGAGGTCCACCGCCCAGAGCCATTAACCAAAGGGTCCAACTCAAAAAACAGCAAGGCAAATAAGGATTTCGCAAACGTTGGGAGCCAGTGACTTAACACTCAGTTTATACGACTTTCGGGTGGCGAAAAGCCATACAGAGGCCAAGCATCACCAAGGTCACAAGCAAAACGCAGTATCAGTGTACGAAGTTTCCAGGGAAGACAAGATGCAGTAAGTTATTAAGTGGGGAATCACATGCACCGAAGTTAAACACATAAAACTGAAGAAGAAGAAGAAGAAGAAGAAGAAGAAGAAGAAGAAGAAGAAAGACACACAAGTGCGGTAGAGAGACCGAATCGAGCTTCACAAGTCGTAAAGGCCGAACAGAAGAAGCTAAGTTTGGATGGCATTAAACTGTTTCGCTAAAAGTTGAACGACGACAAGGTGAAGGGGCGCCTTCCAAGGAAGTTAGTCCTTTGTCCAAAGTACCAGATCGCAGTCCAAAACAATAACTGATCAGTAAATAAATCAAGAAGTTGCAAATAATGCTTATCAGACGGTGCGAATACGATTTGATCATGGAATGGCAGGGTACCGGTGTTATAACAGTGGTGGAAGGAATGAGATGAAACAAGGAAAACTAACCGCCAGACTGTTGTCATGTGAAGATAGATTGCAATGGCGAAAGGAAGCCGTCAGCGATGGAAGCGGGATACCGCATACTTGGCACATAAAGTACTGTAAGCAAATGAAGAGAAGGACATAATTCCAATAAAAAGTGGTTTATTCATTTTGTTAGGTTGAAAACAAGGTAAAAGGAATAAAACTGTTGGATGAATAATGAACTTCGCATTGTTCCGTCTGCACCGTCCATTACGATATATATGGTTGGCGGCATCCGGTTTCGGATTTGCCAGTCACTGTGGCTAGCCACAGGACGCCTGCGCCTACAGAGGGACCATGGGCGGCTTGCATTGCACCACTCACAGCTCCAACCACACACCCCATATCCAGTGTAAACCCGAAGGAATAAGACCGGGAGAAATGTGAATGGGAGCCACGTTTCATCAATGCAGCCGGCCCACACTCCTTCACAGGCAAACACAAGCACGCTGTACTTGGGAATCAAGCACTTACAAGGCGGTGGCTGGACCGTAGTCCGCTCCACACTGAGTGCATGGAACCACTCTTCGAGCATAA